AGTTGCGGCGAGCAGGGGCTACTCTTCGTTGTGGTGTGTGGGCTTCTCGTTGCAGTGGCTTCTCTTGTTGTGGAGCATGGTCTCTAGGTGCGTGGGCTCAGTAGTTGTGGCTCGCAGGCTCTAGAGCGCAGGCTCAGTAGTTGTGGCATACGGGCTTAGTTGCTCTGTGACGTGAGATCTTCCCGGACCGGGGCTCAAACCCGTGTCCCCTGCATTGGCAGGTGGATCCTTAACCACTGTGCCATCAGGGAAGTCCCTCTAGCTAAGATAATTCATGAAGGTAGCTACACTAAACATCAAACTTCCAATGTGGATGAAAAAGCCTTGTATTGGAAGAAGATGTCACCAGAACTTTCATAGCTAGAAAGAAGTCAACGCCTGGCTTCAAAGGCTGACTCTCTTAATAGAGGCTAATGCAGCTGGTGACTTGAAGTTGAAGCCAGTGCTCATCTACCATTCTGAAAATCCTAGGGCCCTATGCTAGATCTCTGACTGTGCTCGACAAATGGATCAACAAAGCCTATATGACAGCATATGTGTTTATAGCATGGTTGATTGAATGTTTAAGCTACTGTTGAGACCTACTGCTCAGAAAAAAAAAGATTCATTTCAAAATATTGATGCTCACTGAAAATGCACCTGGTTAACCAAGAGCTCTGATGGAGATGTACAATGAGATGAATGTTGTTTCATGCCTGCTAACACAACATCCATTCTGCAGCCCATGGATCAAGGAGTCATTTCAACTTTCAGGTCTTACTATTTAAGAAGTACATTTCATAAGGCTATAGCTGCCACAGACAATGATTCCTCTGATGAATCTGGACAAAGTAAACTGAAAACCTTCTGGAAAGGATTCATCATTCTAGATGCCATTAAGAACATTCATGATGAGGTGACTCATGGAAAGAGGTCAAAATATCAAGGTTATCAGGAGTTGGGAAGAAGTTGCTTTCAATCCCCACGAATGACTTTGAGGGGCTCAGGATTTCACTGGAGGAAGTAACTGCAGATGTGGTAGAAATAGCTAGAGAACTAGAAATAGAAGTAGAGCCTGAAGATGTGACTGAATTGCTGCAATCTGATGATAAAACTTTCATGAATGCTGAGTGGACCAAAGAAAGTGGTTTCTTGAGATGGAATCTACTCCTGGTGAAGATCCTGTGAAGACTGTTAAAATGAGAGAGAGAAGTACATTCTCATGATGGGTGTGGCAGGGTTTCGTAGTCACTTACAACTCTTTTGCCAAAAGAATCAAAACAATTGGGTAACAGAGGTAATTTCATGGTCGATTATTTAAAATGGTCCAGGGAGGACCTTACCCTTCATAAACTAACCAATCAATGTAGCAGTAGGTAGCCAATCAGGGGATACTAAGTGATGCAATCAAACTTGAGTTATTAGATATTGGAGAGGAAGAAAGGAATCTTGGCCACCATTGACCAAAAAGAGGAAAGGGTTGCCCACAAATTCTTGTTTTGTTTGCACAAACAAATCTGGGACAGTTTGGTAAAAGCTTTTGGATAGTTTTGGAAATGGCTTCCCATTAAAGATGGCAGATTGACCCATATTTGTTTATGTTCACTGTCTTCTGAAAAGCACACTAAAGGAACGTAAAAGGATAAATCCACAGGGACAAAGAGGATGGAGGTGGGGTCATCTGCAATGGATATATTTCAACACAATTCTGGAAGATGGTCTGGATGGAAGAGTGGAAACTGTTTGTTTGTTTGTTTGTTTTATAAATTTATTTATTTATTTTTGGCTGGGTTGGGTCTTCACTGCTGCGCACAGGCTTTCTCTAGTTGAGGTGAGCGGGGTCTACTCTTCGTTGCGGTGCACGGGCTTCTCATTGTGGTGGCTGCTCTTGTTGCAGAGCACAGGCTCTAGGCACGCAGCCTTCAGTACTTCTGGTACGTGGGCTTCAGTAGTTGTGGCTCGTGGGCTCTAGAGCGCAGGCTCAGTAGTTGTGGCGCACAGGCTTAGTTGCTCCGCGGCATGTGGGATCTTCCCGGACCAGGGATCGAACCCGTGTCCCCTGCATTGGCAGGCAGATTCTTAACCACTGTGCCACCAGGGAAGCTCTGGAAACTGGTTTAACGGAACATCGGAAGCTACTCTAATGTCATCCTAGAGGTAGTACAGAAACAGCTCAGGAGATTATTCTATAAAACACCAGATAGGCCTGGGTCTTGGACATGCCAGAGATCATGAGAGAGAGAGAGATGCTGATGAGATGTCTCAGGATCCCAGAAGTGAGGGAGAGGTGAGAGGCCAAGAGCTGAGTGAATGTGGGTATTTGGAGTTGTTAGATCCTCAGCTCAGGTCCCCTGTGCCATTTCTTGGAGCCAGGTGATTACAACTCCAGCAGGAAAAACAGGAGAGAGGCTTGTGCATCAGGCAGAAAGAAGGGCAGGAGTAAGGCACCTACAGGAAAGAAAGAATGGTAAACTGCATACCGAGTTGAGAATACTGGCAGCCTGGTGAGTTTTCCCTCAGGCAAGAGATAGCAGATACCTCTCTTGAGATGCTGAAGAGCCCAGAAGAAAAAACCTCTAGTTTCTGATATTTAGGGGATCTTCTTAAGGAAAGGTGAACTTTTTATCTGATCACCACACAGCGAGCCCACCAATGAGGAAGCACACTCCCTCCCACCCCTATGTGTGGTTTCCAGTGGGGTTTTATGACCTCATTCTTAAGTAAGAAGGGAGAGTCAAAGGTTTGCAAACATTTGATGAGAGCCTCCAGCATGATGAAATTTCAGAATATTAGGTAACCAAGGCACATAATCATGAAATTTCAGAATATTAGAGATAAAGAGATTATTCTATAAGTTTTTAGAAAGAAAAATTCCAGATCACAAAGGAATGGGAATCAAGATGGCATCCGAATTCTCAATGGCAACATTGGATGCTAGAAGATAAAAGAGCAATTTTTATGAACTTATGAATGAAACATTTCAACTTAGAATTCTACACTTGGTCAAACTCTTTAAAAAGTAAGAGTTGAATAAAGACATTTAAAATTTTACCTTCTGTACCCATTCTTGGGCTATTACTGGAACATATGCCATGGAAAATGAAGCAGCAAACCAAGAAAAAAGGCACAGGGCAGAGAAATGTGGTTCTTACTCTGGAGATGTCCCAGGATGACAACAGAGTAGCAGGTCCAGAGAGGAACTTATCTCCATTGGAAGAGAAGGACAGTGGAGTTTGGAGGGGGTTGGGGGGTGGGGAATGGGATCGATTGATCATTTGGAAAATAAATGTGACAGTTATTTGATAGACATGTTGTAGAAAAAATATCAGGTTGGAAACATCACAAACTGAGTAAACAGATAAAAGGTTTTTATAAGAAAGAAAACAACCATAGTTGCTCTATTGTGACTAGTATTTGCACAGTCACTGACTGCTTGCTATCCCTAAACTGTGAAAGAGATATATTGGATGAATGGTGGAAGATGAAACTAGATGGGGTTTGATAGAGTTAAGTCCTTATCTAAGGCAACAGGTGGACAAAACACACCATCTAAATTGATAAATCAAGGGATAGCTGTGTAAATTATTTAGAAATAGGAAGGTAATGACAGAATAGATGGCTAAAAGTGGAATTTGGTAGCCTCTAGACAGGAGGTTAAGAAGGCAAATGAGAGGTGGGTACTGCATTATCTTAAAGTATCATGTTATCTTTAAAAAGTAAGCGTGTGTGCTTATACTGTCTTTAAAAAGTAAGAAAAAATTTTGAAATTCATTTGTTGAGAATGAAACACAGAACAGCCAAACCTTGTCTCATAATGTAATTTTCAGGAAATACATGATCTATACAGGTTAAAATAGAAGTTATTTCATCTCTGTCAATGTAGTATTAATTCAAAATAAATCATGATAAGCTTTCCATGCCCTCTTTATTTCTACAATTCATATGCATGGGCTAGATTACTGTCGGAACTTCCACAGATACTCGTTGGAAGTAGTGGTTATAAATTACACGTTTGCAAATTCGTTGTTCCCAACCAGGAGAAACAAAACTGCAAAAAAAGTCAGTTTCATTCTGAATTGTTTCCGTAGCAACCATATTAAGCTGGAAGGATAAATTTCCTTTGTAATCGCTGCTTCTATTGAATTACAATGTAAATGTTGATGCTTGCCTGGAAACGTCAAATGACAACATGTTTATGGGAGGGATTCAGTGGTTTGCAGCTCTGGAATCCCAGGCTGCAGAGTTAAGATGGAAGTGGTGTGTCTGAGCCATATTAGGGTCTGTTCAACCAAATTTCTTCACCCCATCAAAACCATGCCACTCCCTATCCGTCTAGGTCATGAAAGGATGCTCACCTATTTGTAAATATAGTAATCTACCGTATCTGTTACACATCGGGACACGAAAAGTGTTTGTTGTGGATAAGTATGTTAAAAATGCAATTACGTAACAGACTCGGCGATCTTTGTGTTTTTCTCCCCCTCTGAGCACAACGTACACTTCAGTCCCGTACTCTTCCGACACTGTCAAACCGTCTTCTTAATGTGGGTATTAAAAGCCTTGTGGTGGTGCGGTTGCATTTGATTCCGGTTGGCTTGGGATCCCCGAGTTCAGCTCTCCTTAGTCCTTCCGTTTGACCCACAATCCCTAGTGGTTGCAGGTGTTGCTTTTTTCCTGTTAACTTCTCTCCCTCAATTCCCCCCCCCCCCCCCCCCTCCCCCCCCCCCCCCCGCCAAACCCCCCACTCCCCTTCCCAGGCCGGCCTCCGGGAAGAAGGGGAACGTAGCATGAAGTCTACTCGAAGCACTGACCCTCGGCTCCCACGGGCTGCCGCAGAGCTGCAAGCGTGCCGCCGCTGCTCTCAGGTAAACTTCGGAGTGAGTTACCTGCACTTGGAGAAGGGCCTTACCTGAGCGCGCCTCTGCCAATGGCAGCTCACCTGGGGGAGCCCCGCAGCCAATCACCGCGCAGCTCGTCCCTCGGGCTTGTACCCTTTAGTGAAAGAATTCAGCTCCTTGCGAGAAAGTTACCTGTGGCCGCCCAAGTCCGCCACTTTGTGCTCTGTGGCTGCCCACTGCCACGATCCGGGAGAACTCCGCGCCGCCCGGCCGCCTCCGAGCTCGGGCCCCATGTGAGGGGGCCCCCCCTTATCCCACCTTTCCGGCTAGGTGAGGGCGCGAGCGGGCGAGCGAGCGAGAGTGGTGAGGGGGGACGGAAAAGCAGAATTACCTGTAGCTCTTGTTCTGCCATCTCGGGCTCTCACACACCTTCACCTGCACAGACTTGAAAGTCCAGTTTCACCAGAGGCTGAGGCTCCAGGAAAAGGGGAGCGAGTTCATTGGATCAAACATGTCACAAGAGTCGGACAAGTAAGTGGATCACACGCGCCGGCTGCTGCTACTACCACTTTGGGCTGATGGCAACTGGTTTGTTATGTTTTTTGGTTTTTGGTTTTTTTTTTTTTTAGGTTGCTATTGTTGGTTTTTTTTTTTTTTCTTCTTTCTTTTTTCTTTTTCTTTTTGGTGTATCCAGACTTTTCCAGATTATGTTTCTACCCTGGTTAAGGGGAGACACCCTGCAAGAATATGAATGTTTAATACCCCCTTTGGGCCTTGATACTAAAAGTAGGTTTTCCTCTTTCCTTCCTCCCTTACGAATGATCTCAGCCCCGGTCTCCCAGGACGAATCCTTGTATATTGGCAGAGGTTTTGGTAGAAGAGGGCGGGAGGCCTGTTATTCCCCCTCTCTTTTAGTTGCTCCCACCGCTTCAGGCTCCTAGGGCCATTTGGAAGTTCAGCTGAGTTCCTTCGATTTGCCCAAAGGGCCTGCTGGAAAAAGCGGGTCTTGGCGGCTTTTGTGCGAGCGCAACAAAGAGCCTTTATCCTGCAGCAGAAACGGCCATCTTCCCGCACTGGGCCGGATGGTGTGCGTGTGCGCGCCCGCGTGTGCGCCCCCGACGGGAGGCGAGGCGCCGAGCGGCCCGGGTCTCGGGGGCAGCGGGGGCCGCCCCCACCCCCGTGCCCCCGCCCCCTCCCGCCCGCCCCCGAATGGCTTGGCCACCTTACGCAGGTGCGGGAGGACTGGGCCTTTCGGGAACGAGGGGGATTGATTTGAGGCCCGAGTTTGCGCCACGGTAAGGCGCTAAGGGGCGCCTGCAACTTATCGAGTCAGCCCCGCCCGGACAGCCTCCGCGGCCCCGCGAGCTCGCCGCCCCCCGAGGCCCGGCCGGTCCAGGCGCCCCGCTCCGGAGGCCGCCACCTCGGGCGTGGCTAGCGGGACGGGGCGAGTGCGCCGGGGCCTCCCTAGGCGACTCTCGCCTGAAAAGGCGGGGAGCCCGGCTTCCCGCGCCTCCTAAGGCCAGCCGGGGGGCGCGTCCGCCCCGTCCGGGACGGGAACTCTAGACGCGCCGGGGCTCGGCAGACTGAGCCGCGGGGCGCCGGGCCCGGGTCCCGTCTCGTCCAGGCGGCCTCCCAGCAGGCCTGGCCCCCGCCTCCCGGCCGGCTTTGTGCTGCCAGGGGGAGGTGGGGCGGAGGGCGGGAGCGAGCGGGAGCCGGAGGTGGGTCCCGCGGCCCTGCCCGGGATTCGGTGGCGACGCTGCCTTCCCCCTCCTGGCGGGCGCGTCCTATCGGGAGTGCGTGGAGGCCGACTTTCCGCTTTTCCTGGTCGCTTTACCCCGGCGGTGCGGCCACCCCAAGGAGACCTTCCACAGGGCGTTTCCGCGGGGGGAGGGCCGGAGGCCGCGGGCTGCCGGCGCCTCTCCTGGAGAAGTGGCCTGGGACCCGTCCCAAATCGAGGGACCCTGAGGGGGGCAGCAGGAATGCCCCGTGGACCTGACCAGGGATGGAGGGGACCATCCTCAAAGTTAGGCCCCGGGTAGGGTTGGTGTAGCTAACGTCACAGGCTATCATACTTAAGAAAAACTACCAGATATTAGTACCACTTTACCCACTAATGAAAAATTAAGTGCGAGCTACACACCGGAGGGGAGGACCTAGTTACAGTGCAAACACGGGCCGAGGTCGGGAGCAGGGGTGGGACTGGGAAAGTGTGGGTTTGAGTGTACCCCCGCTCCCACCCCCAATTGTCTCCGTAACCTTTAAGAACTCACTCCTCGAGTTTGAAAACTTCAGTAGCCAAAAGCCGAGATGGCAGCACGGTGTTTTTGGTTTGTTTTGATCTTCGTGTCAAAAATGGTTGCAAATCTAGTGACTATTGGATAAGGCTTACTGTAATTCCTTATTTAACACGATTAACATTCGGTTGCACCACTTCGTTTTGTGATACAACGGGACTCAAATGAATTTAGGATGAAAACAGATTGGCTTTTAACCGATTGTACTTGGCACCAATGAAGATAAATTATTTAGTATTGAAAATAAGTTCTAATATAGTCGATATTGTGTTAACTTTGGTGACGGATTGTAACTAGATTTATTGTGCGAATCGTTTCGTGACCTATATAGACATCAAATCACTATGTTGTACACTTGAAAATAATATTTGAATGTGAATTATACTTCAATTAAAAATAAATTTAAAGAAAGAAAATAAGCAATAAAACTAGCAATCTAGTTCACTGCGATACATTACCTAATTTTTATGGGTAATAACTATCTAGAGTTATGTATACTTACATTTAATGAAAGTAACTTTTATCTAGTGATGGTTTCCAAGACTTCATTTCGTTTCCTGGGAAAAGTAATACTAACAATACCTCAAAGAGACTGTTGAACCCCATTTACGTCTCTTTGCCAAGACTATGGAGAAATGCTTGAAATTAATAAATGATTTTTGGATCATTTTTGCAGATTCTAGCCTAGTTCTTTCATGGCTGTCTGGCCGGGGTGGGCCCAGGTTTTATGAGCTTGAAGCTTATGCAATTGTGTTAGGTGGAGTAGGGGTGGGGGCTAAAAAAAAAAAAAAAAAACCCAGGTGAGCCTGTTTCTGGAGCTTCCTGCCAGAGCAAACGGGAGTCCTGGAGCTTGAACTTTATCAACTTTTCGGTAAATCCCTGTAGGAGGCTTGTCTGTATTTTCTGGAACTAACCTAAAGGAATACACAAAGGACTTTTTTTTCTATAAACCCATCAAAGTATAGGTAAGCTTTTGGATAGCATACGAAGATAATTCCAGTTAGCAAGTCTGGACTGAAGTAGCATCATCTTTTTTATAGTCGTGAAGTTTTCAGATTGACACGATCTGCTTTTTATGTTCTGCAATGTTGATGCTATCGCTATTTAAAACAAAGTATTTTTAGGACAGTTTGTCTTTGTACATATTTAGAATTTTTCTACTCCCCCTTTCTAACATTTTATGGAGATTTATGATCTTTGTCAACAAGCATGTGTATTCTAGCCGCCCAATGATAGATTTAGAAACTCTTATTGCCAAAATATTCAGAATATATATATATATATATATATATATGATTTATTTGAAACAGGTGTTTTTCATTACCTATATGTGTTTTCTGATTACCTACCATTTGCAACACATTCAGATAGGTATCATAGGAGAGTAAAAAGACGTATAAAGTGGGCCATGTCCTCAAGGGACTTACACTCTAGTGGAAGATGAAACAGGAACAGATATTACATAAATCCCCCTTCTCCCTACCCACCCCGCTTTTGCCTTAGGACGATTACCTTTAGTCATTCTGTGTGTTTTGTCTTAAGGAGTCCAGCCATTATTCTAGAAAGGAAAATGTCCAAAGTTATAGATACCTCATGTGGGTAGCGTTTCAAGTAATGGGATGAAATATTTTAATCTTTCTACTCTTTAGTTTTATAAGTGGATATGTTTCCATTTAGCTATATAATTTTTTTTTCTTTTTGTTTTTTTTTTTGGCCATGCCACGCCGACCAGGGGTTGAACCCGGGCCACGGCAGTGAAAGCATGGAATCCTAACCATTGGACCACCAGGGAGTTCCCTATATTATCTTTTAATATCACCAATACTGAGTTAATCATATCTTCCTCAAAGCAATAAAAATACCCACTCATTTATTCAACAAATATATCTTGAGTGCCACTATAAACTGAGCGTTGATCCTGGCAATGAGATTCATTAGCAGATAGGACAAACTGCCGGCCATTGTGGTGCTACCATTGTAGTTCCAGGAAACAGTGAATCAATAAAGAAGGAAATACCTAACAAGTTAGATGATGATAAATGCTACAAAGGGAAGCAAAGCAGGCTAAAGGGATTGAGAATAACGGGGAATTATTTTATATAAGGTGCTCAGGGATGGCCTCTCTGATGAGATGACCTTTGAGCAGAAACCTGAAGTGAGATCAAGCACTGAAGATACTAGGGATACGAGTGTTACAGGCAGATGGATGAGCAAGTGCAAAGACCCTGAGGTGGGAGAGTACTTAGCATATTCTAGGATCAGAAAGGAGCCCAGTGTGGGTGAATCAGAGACTTAGAGAGACAGTGGTCCCATTAAGTAAACTAAGATAATCAGTTCTCTATTTAATAGTCCAGACACTTGTACACTCAAAACCAGACAACACTATACTTATAAATACAGTAAATACAGAATCGGCTAATAGTGCCAGTCTTGTATCTTTCCCCAGGTATCACCAGCTTAATGGCTAAAGTCCAGTGTTCTCTTCCCTACAATGGATTAAATCTTGCACGCTTCTTAATTTAGAGGTGAAAAAAATGCACACATACTGGATGACCCCTGGGAATTAGAACTGAAGAAGAGGGACCAACATGGTGTTTGCTCTGACACTCATTCCTGTCTAAACCTCTTAATTTAACCTGCCACCCTTCCTGGCTATCTCAACCCTAAATTAGCCTCGAGTTCACCCTTTCTTTCTCTCACCCGCATTCAATTTCTGCAAACTTGTATCCATCAGAAAACAGACTGGGCCACTGTGTTTGGAAGTGAGACACTGCAAACAGTGTGCTTTGGTTAGTTTTGCATCTTCGGTGAAATAAACTAATATACAGGTAAAGTTAACTTACCTGAAAAATAAGAAAATGCTAGACAACAATATAGAAGTCTGGATTGATTAAAAAAAAAAGGTTGAAGATAATTATGTATGTGCTTAGTAATAGGAATGTCCATAGGCATTCTTTAAATCACTGCAACACAAACTCATCTGATTACAAAAATATATCACCTGAGGCACTTGGTAAAGCTACACTCCCTGTGCCCCACCCCAGAGTTATGGAATCAGATTCTTCAGAGAGGGGCCAGGGCATCTGCATTGGGTTATTTAGCAAAATAATGCTTTAAGTGAGTACTTTACATAATAAATTCAATTTATACATCCCTTCTCAGGTGTATATCCAGCATATAAGTGAAATGAAACCTGTAGGCTTTATGTTCATTATGCTACTTTTGGATGAGCAGCTT